GATATCAAAACATTCTTGTCTGCAAAGAAAACAAAAAGAAAGGCTCCGATCCCAGTGTGACAACCAAAAAGAAAGAGAAGACAATCCCGGATGACGATTCCCACATACAAGCACCGCCCCGCGCTCAAAAGGCCGAACAACGGGAAACAACCAACCAGGATGCCCAATAACAAAATCGAAGCAGACAAGATTAAAACAAATCCTAAATGACAATCGTAGATGACAAGTCCCACATGCAAGCACCGCCCCCGGCAACTACAGGCCAAACGACGGGACAAGACCAACCAGGATGTCAAAACACACTTGCCTGCAGAACGATAACCAGATGACCAATACCACATGAAGCACCGCCATCCCTCCCTAAGATAGACCAAATAACGGGACAAGGCCAACCGGAATCGAAGCAGACAACATTCTCATTCACAAAACAAACATTCTACCATATCCATAGTAAAAAGACGGAACCATTCAGTAGGCCCGCAAAACGCAACATCCTGACAATAGGGAAGATCAAGGAGAAGAAGAACAAAAATCAACAGATTAAAAAATATTCTCTTCCATAAGAAAAGACAAAGCCTGCTAGTACAGGCCCGACGCTCGCCGCATCATCAGCAAAAGCAGAGAGCTAGCAACGTCGGAGTATATATCATCACATGAATATGAGAGCGCAAAAGCGAAAAAAAAAAAAAAAAAAAAAGTCTTATATAGTCTTAGTAGAAAGGTAAGTTGTCATCACCGGTTGTAAGTATCAAAGCAGTTCACGATCGGGATCGTGGGTTGTAATCGCGATCGCCATCATCGATCGCGATCATTGCGCATATAACTTGGGGAAGAGGGATGAATAATTAGAACGTATCATGTGTGGACGTTCTCAGCAGAATCTGGCCGTATATCTGGCTAGATACATGGTGTGGAGCCCGCGCTTACATGTCAATTTGCCCTTTCTTCCTGTCAAGGGCGACCGATGTGGGAGAGGGCAAATCGAAATGCAAGGGTGGGCGCTATTGTGTATCTGACGGTGTATACGGCCAGATTGTGCTAAGAATGTCCAAATAATGGTTGCGTGGGTGGGCGCGAGCTTGTGGGCAACAGACAGCAATTTATACAGAAAAAAGAAAGAAAAAAGAAAGAAAAAAGAAAGAAAAAAGAAAGAAAAAAGAAGGATCAATCACAGCCTGCGGGGGACAGGTCGTGGGAGATGCGACAAAGAATTAAACGAAAAAGGAAAGATCGACAATGGATTTTACACCAAAAAGGAGAGAACGAAAAAAATAAAGGGCGGGAAAGGATCGCAAATGTGCTGGGAAATTTGGCCCATTGCGGGCGGGACGGGGGTAAAAAAAAGCGGCGGGAAAAGAAAAAGGCGGGAAAGGATCGCACATATGCTGAAAATTGTTCTATTGCGGGCGGGGAAAAGAAAAAGCGTCACATCCTATCTTCGATACATGCTCCTGGCAAAACATCATGATGAAGATGCGATGACAGTTCGTCGGCTTGAGTTTTTTTTTTTTTTTTTTTTTTTTTTTTGTAAGTGTGTGTGTGTGTGTATGTTATGCGTAGATACAAAGGAGCGTTAGCTGGAGTTTGAGAATCTGTTCGATTTCGGATAGGTGATGAATGTGCGGTGAAAGTTCAGGTACTGTTTTGGTTCCTTCCGGATTACTTGCACTTGGTCATAGCTTCGCCACAGATTCGCAACGACGAATCTTTTTATTGAATATACTTTTTTTTTTTTTTTTTTTTTTTT